CCTGGGCCCAAGCGAGTCTCCTGCCTCAGCCTCCCAAGTAGCTGGGACCACAGGCGCCCGCCACAACGCCCGGCCATCCTTTGGTTGCAGCCATCATTGTTGTTTGGCGGGCCCAGGCTGGGGATTCGAACCCGCCACCCTAGGTGTATGTGGCTGGCGCCCTAGCCGCTTGAGCCACAGGCACCGAGCCTCTGCCTTTATTCTTTAGAAATCTTCTATAAACATCTTAATTCTATTAAAAAAGTGGGGGGCATCATCCAACTTCAGTTGCAGGTCCTATGACCTAGAATGAATCATTGGGTAGTTCACTTACAAGACAGATGGTTTTTTCTTTCAGATTTGTAAATACTTTCAATGAGCTCATCAGCGTCACCATGAGTGGGAAGGTTTATGAAAACATCACCAGTTACAATGCCAGCCAGTACCAGTTTTTCACTTCTGGCATGTAAGTACCTGTAATGGACACTTTGTTCCACAGTTCAAAGCTTTCAAGTTTTTTTCTTTAAAAATTACACCGAAGCTTTTCATACCAAGGATATTAACCTCTATTATTTTTTTTTAATAGAAAAACCTTCACACTAAACTCACCAGAGATTTTGCCACAGTGTTCACGTGATTTCCAATCTTCCTACCTTGGATTTGGCAGTGCCTATACCTATGTAATCCAAAGGAAGGTAACTCCCCCACTCGCATCAGAAGTTCACTCCAGCTTTATCGACGGGACGCCTCACAAACACTTGGGACACAGAAATGAGTTAACCTCAGAACTATTAGGGTCTGCATTTTTAATGGGTTCCGAATTAATTCACTGCTAATTCTTTAACTTATTGTTGACTTAAGCGAACCATTAGAATTAAATTAAACAGACTGAGTTCCTCTGTCTAAATATCCATGTGGACCAGTATCTGAGATTTCCTTACACACTACCAAGGTGGCCTTTAGGATTTTATACTTCAAAGGGAGGGCAATGTTTTAAACAAAATAACTTCCAATCTACTCTTTTAAGAGGGAAATATATTATTGAACATATTCTGAAATCCCACAAAGGCCATTCAAACACAAGTATAAAGATCAATGTTGTATATTTACATTGAAAACACACACTTACTTGATAAATCATATCACACAAGCCTAGAAAGTCAAAGTCAAGTTGCCTGTTTAGACACTTTTTATTTTAGACGCCATCTGGACTTTAATTTCTTCTTCCCTCTTTTCTCCTATTGG